AAAAGGCTATCTGTGCTCTGCCCACCACGGATATCGAAACCCGGATTCTAGCGTTGTAAGTCTGCAGACATGCCGCTGCGCCACTGGGGGGCATATCCAAGGGATTGCTGTCAAACAGAAATGTGTAAATATGTGGTTTATAATGTTGTATTGTTTAAAATGTTAAAGGATTGGTTCCTTTAGTTCGTATGTCTCTGATAGAAGGAAAATCATCAGCCTTAATTTGTGTAAGTATAATAATTAATTTCTCAAAATTAATTAATTATGTTAATTAATTTTAAATTTTTTCGCTGTCAGATTGTGGATCCTAGGTTTCATGGCTTGCTCCCAGTTTATGCCAAAGCAAATCGCACTCCGCAGTGGTGGTCAAATCCAATTATTTCGTTGAAGTCGTCCAAAAGTTGGTGGTGGGTGGTGTTGACTAGCTGCCTCTCTCTCTCCTCTAGTCTATCAATCAAAAATTAGAAACAGTTCTCTCTCCAGTAGCTCTGTGCGAAACTTAACAAACTAACTATTTTTTATTTTTTTTTGCTTCTTTCATTTGTTGACTAAATAGTTCATATAAGTTCCAATACATGGAAAATCTGATTTTTCATGTCTTCGCAGTATCATTGGCATGTATGATATTACTTAAAGTTCTAACTTTATTTTCTTTTTATATATGTTACATATAACCCTGCGGGTCAGTAGTAAGTTCACGGACTTGCAATGCTAAAATCTCTTGTTCGATTCTCCATGTTGGACAGCCAAATGTGTATCTCTGCGCTAAAAAAAAAAACCAACAAAATATACATAACACACAGGACTTTGAACCAAGCGCGGCCTTGTGGTTAACGTGTCGAGCTGGAGTTCTAAAGTTCGTATCCCGTTACCGCAGAAAAACAATCGCGATTCACACTTTGGAGCCATTAGTTCGTTATAAGAATAGAGATTAAATTTCACTCTTCAGACTGACAAAAATAGTCGAAGAGTTGGTGGTGGGTGGTGTTGTGTAGCTGCCTTCCTATAGTTCATCACTTCAAAATAAATACGTCTTTTCACGATATCCAAGAAACAAAAACGCAGGACTTTACCATAAACCTTGATGATCTCAGTCACATCTAATTATCTCGGTTTTGTTGCATATAATAAGATACGAAAGTGAATTTACACTTTATAGAAACGATAATAAGGTTTGACAATGGCTTTCTCAGAGAAGAGTAATGTTAATGTTCTCTCCCTCCTTTTGTGCAACTTTCCATAAACTGGATAGAGATGCACACGCTTAACAAAAAGAAAGATACGAAAGGTCATAGGAGCTGCATAGGGAAGTAGGGACTTTAATGTGGTCGAATATGATTCATAGGGAAGTAGGGACCTTAATGTGGTCGAATATGATTCATAGGGAAGTAGGGATTTTAATGTGGTCGAATATGATTCCCGTTATTCTAGTTTCTTCAGTCATCGTTCTCTTGAAGGGCCGAGCGCGGCTCTGTGGTCAGCAGGCCAGACTATGAAACAGAGGTTCCGTAGTTCGCGTCCAGTCAATGTCCAAATAAGATCGCACACTCTGAACTTTAGCGTCATGGGTGTAATATAAGAGTATCGCTCAAACGCCACATCCGATATGGCAAAAGTAGACCAAGAGCTGGTGGTGGGTGTGTTGACTAGCTGCTATCTCTCTTACTTATTACTTCTAAATTAAAAATGTCTAGAGCAGATAACCCTCGCATAATTGAAATCCAACATTTAGACTTTTTCTTAAAATACAACTGTTAATTTCTTTACTTTAAATTGTGAGCTGTCGGTAACTTCGGATTATTTTTTAGTTGTCTTGCTGACAGTACATTGAGATGTTCACATCTTTATCGCAATGGCTTTGTGAGTCAAAGGGTTCTCTATCATAAGCATAGCCTTCACATTGCAGATCAGGACATTCTGTAAATTGGCATAGGGTGTAAATTCAGAGCCTGTTATACTGTTCTAAGCATTCTAATATGCAGATTTTGTCTTCCCGTTTCCATGGAGAATATTGAAAAATCCATTTTTCGAAATATTGTCTCCATTAGTGACTATATCTTCTAACACTCTTCTCTATAAATATTTATATTGGTAAAGAACGGTTATCCATATCTCTGACCACAGATTAGACTTTGAAGGAATCTTACGAACCTGAATGAATTGCTTTTATATAATGGACAGATGTTATCCACTACGTGACTGTAGTTCTTGAAGTATTCTACATTCGCAGGGAAGCAGTAGCTAATTTGAATGTGTTTGAATAATCTATAAATACCTCTGTAGGCTATGCAAATTGTTTTTCTTTCAATATTGGCTGCGCAGGTTTTCTTATGAACACTTAATTATTCAGTTTTTCCGTATACCTAATGCATTGTATTTTAGCTGGATTTTATACACACAGAATCAGTCTTTGAAATAACTTATTTTATTGATAACGCTCTTTATAATATATTTTCTACTTGAATAAATTCAACTTGATCAAATACAAACCATGCATAGATAATTTTACATACTCGGAAAGCTTTGAATTGTAACTTTTTTGGTGAAATACAACATTTATTAAGCGATTTTCAAGTTCATAAATAACAATTTTTCAGCACGTTAAGGACTTCAGTCTGCTTCGCTATATATTTTGTTTGTTTTCCTTTTAACGTGCTATGCATACATCATATTTAGGAAACTTATACATAGCTACCAGTAAAATGTAGTAGGTGTCTTTAGAATTTGGTGCATCTGTTCTTTAAGAGATTTGTACATTTTCATCCACTAAAGGGTACCGTTTATAAGGCTTTCTTTGAAATACATCATAAAACACCAAACATTTTCTTGTATTTGTGGAGTGTTGCTCTAAAACCATTCGCTTTCTTTCTTTGAATAGCAGCAAATAAAACTATCTGTTTTCCAGGCACGATCGGGCTCCTTTTCCAATAAACGGACCTTCAGACATTATTTTTGTTAAAACCCAGTGGGATCTCTTTCTTTATATCATCAGTATCTAGAAAACGTCGGCATTTTGTATGCCAGTTGTGGGAAGTTTACACCTTACTTGGAGATAAACAAGGTTGGATGATTTTTTTTCCACCTCGTTTTCCAAAGCACAAGAGAAAGCACATCGTAATAAAAAATGAAAAGAAAATCATGTCACGGAAGTTTAAGGAAGTTTAGAGTATATCAAAAAACATGAACACATACAGCGCTTTCTTTATAGCAGCGTATGTGCTTATACTTGCTTTGTAAACATTTTAAACCTATGTAAAGAAACATTGTTTTTAAATTTCACAATCAAAATACAAAATCGTAGCGTGAAAGCCTTCTCGTCAAAGTGAATGTAAAAGTAAACATATCAAACCCGTTCAGACCACTTTATAACACAAAAACGTTTAACAGCAGGAATGTTTAGTAAATTTTTCATAGTAGGACTTTCAGTTTGTGTAATTTCACTTACGTTTTGTCCTTTTGTTATGAAAATTTATCACTAGAGCTTTTATATTTAGATGTAAAAAGGTGTAATAGCTTATTGCGGGTCTTTAAAAACCACTAATGTTTAGGAAACTGCGCGATGACATTTTTTCTTAAACTAAATAAAAGTAACTTACTCCTTAGATAGCTAAGAACATTTAATTGGTGATTTTTTCACTTGGAGAGCTGCTTTTGTCTAAATATTTCTAGAAAATCTCTCTTTAATTACTAGTTTTCAATGGTTGATGAAAATGGCCGTTGTGGTTCGGTCATTACTTAAACACTTGAGGATTGTGACTGTCATAAAGATGCGATATAAACCTTAACCAGAAACGACAACACTTCACAACCATCGAGAGGAACTATTTCACATATTTTTGTGATACGAATTTTTGGTTCTATATGTTTTTTGCTGTAGTTTTTAAATATCTATTCAGTTTCTGTTGCACTAGTTTCTTTGAAAATGATTGCTCATTGCTATGAGAAATGAATATTTTAAATTAATATTCTTTGATAGATTGTTTAGGCAGAGTATTCATGATGAAACTTTGTAGAATGAACGGCAACCTCAAGACGAAAGGCGGAAGACTTTCGAAACGTTGTCCTCTACACTTTTGTCTCGACAACAGTCAACTTGAATTAAAATGTTATGATGATTTAGATAAACCTTATGCAAAAAAATTCTGTGATTTATTTTTATATAAAGTGTATGATATTGGACACACAATATTGTTATATTTGTACTTAAAGCTTCAGTGAAAAACATAATTTTATGAAGTTTCTTTGTCTGGAAGAAACATAAAATTTTAAAATATATTATTCACATAACCACACATTATAACAGAAATTCGAACTTACTTAATGCGCTTATAATAATTACAACATTACTCTTTGTACAAGGAGATAAGCACAAGCAATTGAACATAAAACTACAACAAAAAATCCATTAAACACATATTCGAACAAAAATAACCGTGAGTTGCATTTGCAAACGCAAAAGTTGCCTTGCACTCAAATATTTGAAATAACTAAGTCTTAAACAAGTTTTACAATAGTGAGAGACGTCATAATGCATAGTTTGACTATATTTCCTTTTATCTTCTATGTTGTTAGCATTGTGGTTATATCCGTTATTTTTATTAAAAGATCTATTATGTGTGCATTATTAAAACCTACAATATTTTCACAGTTTTTTTTCTTTGTTATTTATTATTGGTCATAATTTGTTTCTTATTTTGATGTGTCTCTACTGTGTTTGAGTTAGAAAAATATGGCAGTAAATATTTTCGTTTCTCTTATCTTAGATATTATTCTCAAGGGTACATTATCTATGGTTATATAATGTCATAATATAACAGAAAAAGTATTTTAACCAAATATTATTGATAATCCCTGATTAACATGACATAAAATATGTTTTAAAAATCAAAGCTTAGCACGTTTTTACAGTGGTAACAGGCTATGCTTGATACTTAAGTTTAGATACTGTGTTGCTGTTATAACAAAAGGTAAAATAGTCTCTGTTATTCTTTCGTAACTAGATGTTGGCTGGCATTTCCCAGTGAAACCGATTTTAATAACAGTGGTGTCTGTAGTAGTGATTTTCATCCTGATAGCTGCCTGTGCTCTCATCCTGCATAAATCAAGAATACTCACTCGCAGGAAAGGTATGACAAACGATACAAAATACATTGTTTAACTGTGTTGTACCAATTGTAACATAGTTTAACTGTGTTGTACTAATTGTAACATTGTTTAACTGTGTTGTACTAATTGTAACATTGTTTAACTGTGTTGTACTAATTGTAACATTGTTCACCTACAGTATGTTATAATTGATTATTTCAAGAGCAAAGCATTTGTTTGTTGAGAGAATTTCTTTTTTTTTTTTGTCTTGATGTGTGTTCACCACCTACGTTTTACAACAAACGTTGAAATGAGACAACCCAATGTCGGCATACGCTTTTAACCAGCACTGTCGCTGCAGTTGATGAACGTGCATTAAGAAGAAAAGAATTTCCGTTCTTTAAACAACAAGATATCAAAATAACCAGATGTGTATTTTTCTTGTTTTTTTTTTTTCCCAAAGAACATGTTTAAACGACAGCTCAAATATGGAAAAGTTAGGGAGAGAGCTACATAAATCCCTTGCTAGCTTATAGATGATCGTTGCTTATTAAATATAACGTTAATTGTTTGGTATCAAAAGACTCCTGCACCATGTGGCTCATATAATTTACTTATTACGTTCAATACAGTTTGATTCCGCTCAAAGAAGAGTCAAGATTGGAAAAAATTAAACATATATTTAATGGAAGTAAATCATTAAACATAAAACAAATTTAAGAACTTTAGTCAACTTATTCATGACAGAAGCAAAAGATGAAAATTGAAATAATGAAAATAACCATTGACCAATTAATAATATGAGAAATAGCATGGATATTTGATGCACATTTTTTTATATCCTCTTTCGAAACTTATCCTTAAAACAATAGCTATACAATTTCCTCTACAGTAAATAACTAGTTTGTAATACAGTGTGCTTACAATAAGATAACTTAAGCAAACAATACACGCTTACCCATATTTATATTCATATTAGTGTGGTATTCCAAGCAAACATTAGAAGAGCAGGTAAACTATATGACCCCCAAAACAAAGGGATCGTGGATCGCAAAGTGTAATAAGTCAACTCAACTGCTAGAGAAATGTAGTGTTTACAAAGAACAGAGTTAGTTTATTAAACATACACTAGCTATACTTTTCGTTGCGGTAGAGTTACTGCACTGGTACCTTAACTCTAAAATCAGCTGATAATCGGATCTGGACGAGATTCTTAACGAAACGCATGATAAATCTATAGAGAATGAGAGAGAGAAAAATTCGATATGTTTTAGCATATTCCTCAAATCTCACTAAGTTGTTGCTTTGCTTATAATATATTTGTGACTCTTGAGTTTCATAAATTTTCTCAGCCCCCCCAGTAGCACAGCGGTATGTGTGTAGACTTACAACGCTAGAATCCGGGTTTCGATACCCGTGGTGGGCAGAGCACAGATAGCCCATTGTGTAGCTTTGTGCTTAATTACAAAATAAACAAACAAATAATAATAAACATAAATTTTCTACCAAAATCACGATATAGCCATTGAACGATTAGTCAACTCAGGTTAACAACTCTTGTCCATTCACAAGACCTGTCTAGTTTTTATTACCCCAACTTTAAAGGAGTGGCTAGAACAGTCATGTGCGAAGCCATGAATATTTCAACATCGAATCATAACCACAATTGAGAAGCCCTTAACGTTTCGCTTAATGTGCATTGAATATATAATTCAATGTAACCGTGTAACTAATGCCGTGTATTTATTTGTTTTTGTTGATACTGTTGTTATTGTTATTGTCTACCCTTGATTTATCGGTTTCTACCTCTAACAAAGTACTCTGCCATCACTTCTAGAGATATCTAGAAACAAATTGGCGACTCTTACAATCAAGATTCACAAGGACGTAAATATAAAACAATCTCTTTATTTTTAATAACTTATTAAACATCTCTGCAGTTGAAAACCGGTTGTTACACCAGATGCTATAATAACGTAGAAATGTACAAATAAAAATAAATAATGTTAATGCTTGCACACTCTCAGACGTTAAGGTTTGCCCTTTGATAATGTTTGTTGAGTTGTGTTAATGATGTCCAATCGTTTTCTCTTCTCCCCGTGTTTTTTTTTTTGTTTTTTTTGGATTTTATTCAGAATATATCTTACCTACATGCAGAGCATCGAAGAGGCAGAAGGAAATGCATCAAAAGTTATAAAAGGATTCAACTTGTAATAATCGTATATCGTACAATTTGATTTAAACTTTTTAATGTATGTTTACAGAAATCTCAATGGATAAACGCTGAAATAAAAAGTATTCATAAAATTAATATCAGCAATATAATTGTTCGAATCAGTATCAAAAACTGGTACACAAGGAAAGGTTGCTGCCAAGAAATTTAACATTCTACATGTAAGCATTGTCAAGGGATTAAAGTTCGCCAAAAAAAACACGAAGAACGTATGAGATTGTGTGCTATGGACTGGAAAAACAAAGATTGGGTTGTTATTTTTGTTTGTTTTTTACACTCTAAGGGTGTTTGTGACGAGGCATGACTGAGAAGATTAAACAAGAGTGTATGAGCAAACTAGTGGAACATGTGGCGTTTTTGTTTTTTTTTCTGATGCAGGAGCATGAGATATTCTCGAAATTGACTATATTGTAAAGAAGAAGAAGCAGAAACACTATTACCTCTTAGTTCGTTATACAATATCCAATGGACGATGCCTAATTAACTTCATCTTTAAATATAAGAATGATAATGATCCAAATCATACTGCATTGTTGAATAAGAAGTTTGTGGAGAGATGTGGGAGCACAATTGATGTAAAAGTTATAGTGATCACCACAGGAAGCTAGTTCCATGAAACATATGTAACACCAGTTGAGTAATAATGATGCAACTAACCTACAAATACTTTAGGAGGTTGCATATAGGTTGGAAATAAAATACTGGTAGTATTCATACTTGATCGATGTTGTGACGCAACTGGGGATGGGATAATAACTCGTGAACATTATAGATGTTGATTATTATTTCTTCCGTAACCTTTCTTAAAATCCTTGACTGGTTCTGTATGTATATATTTACCTGACTTCTTAAATATTTAATATTAAATGTAAGAAAAAACAAACGTGAATAATAGTTGATTTCTTTAAACGTTTTGCTTTTAAATTTATGACAAAATTAAATATTTACCAAATACTTTCTTATATAAATACTAACAACGCCTTATGGTACTACTTCATACAGCAGAAAAATACATCAATTCGCTTATAATATTATGTATAGGCAAAAAGCTTTAGTCCTTTCAATATTCCTACACTTAAAGTAAAATAATAAACACCTTAAATACGATAAACGATGGTTGACAATTACGATAGTTAGAAGCTCAATTTTCTCGTATTCCGAAACATTTCATTTATTATCTAAGCTGTTCTAATCAAAACTATTTTATATTTCAAGAAAGTTACACAGGGTTTATAGTCAACTACAAAGATGTATTACTTTATACAAAAACAATCTTGAAGCCTCACCGCGTCGTTACAGTCCATATCACTGCGTACAGGCATGCCCTAATGATCGTGTATCTTGGCAATAGCCCGGTAATCTGATTTCTATTCCAACTAACTCCGTAGTAAGGATTTCATGTCCAAAGCACGCCACTCTTCCCTGTAGGGTTTCCATAATCCATATAGAGTACGAGGAATACGATTTTCCAGCTCCCGTTTCAACAATCTGATCGCACAGAAACCCGTTGATGACAGTTGAACAGATATGTTATGGAAACAACTTGCGTACAAATGATTCGTGTCGCTTTTTTTGTTTTAGACAGAGAATTTTATTGATTATGTTACGTACTGTTGCTTGAGCAAGTGGATGACTTTTGTAACTGACCTTTGTCTTCATGGATTCTAACTAGTTACAAGACTCCACAATTTGCTTTCTACAGCTGAAGTATTACTTGTTGCAGATCATTTTATGAATGGTCTTGGTGCCCCACGTTGACCCACATTCTTTTGTTTCCCAATCTCATTATATACAAGGGATATCCTTGGCTTGAAAAAATCTATATCCCTGATGTGAATACATCTGTATGATCTGAGTGCATGAATATTTTGCGTCGGAAAAGGCTGTTATATATCCTTCATAAACGCAATCAGTTTTTGATGACATCACAATTACTACAAAACGTTAAACAATGTCAAAATGTAGTTCTAGTATATTCTGTTCCACTATGAGTTTATATCGGCTGTGGTTGTCACGTAGCTTGCTGATTTGCATATTTAAAATCGCTTTAAATAATTAAATGGCGTTTGGATCAACTAATCAAACAAAATATTTTTTTCAGTGTGAAAGACTCCATTCCGACCCCACTTCGTTCCTGGATAATTTACAATTTAATATAAATAATGCAGTCCTATGTACACTCGTGCATTCGGTTTTCATTTCCACCCTTACAATATATAAAGCTTCGAGCGTATTTGTTTCACTGTGTTTGGTCTCTCATTCTGCTTTGATTCGATGCTAGATTTTTCCTCATTCTCTTCCCCTTTGCTTTATATTAATCAAACAGAAATTATGTAGATATTTGGAGAACTGTGTGACCCTATCGACCCATTGTTTTGTTCAGTGTATATATGTCAGCATTTGATTTATTTATGCTCACAAGACAGTCGAAAATCATGAGATAAATAACTAGAAAATATACTATATTTTTTTTCTCATAACGGACACTTACATGGAATCTCCGCCAAAAAGGTTTCGGTAGTCATAATGTTAAATTGTTTGCAGAAGTTTAGAAAGGAGAGATGGACAACTGTATTTGTTTAATAAGAAAAAACATAAAACAGTTGAAAATACTCAACAGTAAAATGTTTTGAATATATACAACTGTTTTTCTTCCAATCAGTTGTGTTCTAATGAGAATCACAGAATATATGTCCTGTGTAATTACCGTTGGCATTGAAAAAACTAACTTCGCAACTATAGGAAAATGAAAAAACTTTAATAATTTTTGCAGCAAAAATAACGCAAAATGATATTCGATAATATTTT